GACTTGAACAGAAAAGTAGTACAACCAAAAACATCGAGATTCATTGTTTTGTTTGTTTTTTTGTTGTCGTTGTTTTTCGAATCTTCGTGCTTGGAATTGGAATGCACCAGTCGAGGTCGCCATCGAGGGACGAAGGAAAGAAAATTTGGGGACATTGTTCCCATAGAAACCGGCGGTCTCTCTGTCTTTAGACTAGTCTCAAACAAATTGTACCAACGTGTCCAGGGTACAAAAGAGGATGTTACTTTTGGTTTGCATTATGTAATAAAATAAGGTTAAGAGCATCACTAAATGCACACCGCTGATGCATTTTTGCTATTGAAAGATGCCTAGTTGTGACAACTTATCCTTTCATTCCACATGCAGCTGGGCGAAAGTACAGTCAACATTGGGCTTATGTTTTTGTTATTCTCTGGGGTTTTCACTCTTTCTGCAGCAGCAGTTACCTTTATTGTTGATAAGACGGTGAGTTTATTTTAATAACCAGGATGTTTGTCGTTGTTGTTGTTGTTGTTGCTGTTGTTATTATTTCTTTAAAATATAGTAAGCGCCGTCTTATTCACCTCTCTTCTCTTGTTAACCCTATTTTCAAGCACAGCATAAATTAAACTGGCCATTAAATATACTTTTTCTGTTGTTGTTGTTGTTGTTCAATCAAAATCTCGTGTTCTGACTGAAAAGCAGTAAAACTACTTTATTTCCTCACACAAGAATTAATTACTTTGACACACAAAAGGTGCCAGTCTCGAAGGAATAAATCAAAACAAATTGCATTCACAACAAGCTTAGAAAATGTTTTATATAAAAACTCGTGGGGCCGACCAGTCAATGGAAAAACACACCTTCTCTGAATCTCGACAATTGTTTTTATTTGAAATGGAACTGGAAAAGCATTCAACTTGTCCATTCGGGGAAGAAGCTATTAAAGCTGGTGTGCTTGATTTTCGGTGCTTCGACTAGCAAGAACTGCGCTAAACATTACAGAAGATAAACCTTTGATAAGTTTTCCCAGCTGACTCACACTATGGACAAATACGATTAATCCTTGCCTGTTTGTTGTTACAATTTTCTATTCTTGTTACCGATTGAAATCGTTCAGTTTAATTCAAGCGTATCTGAAACAGAAAGAGGTACCGCTTATGGCAAGAAAAAGCAGTCGAAAAACACTGAAATACGAAAAAAAAACCGCAAGTCAATTTCAGCGAGTTACTACAATGGGCCCTGAAGTGCGTTTGTGTACATACGTTCATTTCTCATATAATTTTTTTTTATTTTTTCATTAGAACAGGTACCGAGGCTTCCTTATTTTGGGCTTCATTAGTTTTGGTATTGGATATCTTATGCTTGGTCCTGCGCCGTTTCTGACTTTTCTACCTCAAAGGTTTGTAACGACATGAAGAAAACGAATTCGAATGGGGTAGAATGCAAATAATTTTAATGTTGGAAATATCTGAATGGCGTAACTCTTCATCAATCAAAAACAAAAAAAAACATTTAAAAAAAAAAAACAGTTTTGTAGTTCCTACAAACCAGACAAAACAAGACATTTTTGCCTTTTACAAAAAATTCTGTCTGACAGATTTTTCCGATTTTTTTTTCTATGAACAATTTTCCCTTCCAACCAAACAAAATCGTGAACTTTTATGCTACGCTGCTAGGTTACACGAAAACAAGGCTAAATTCAGCAAGTAAACACACACTGTCGGCTTCGCTGTATGGCCAGTACCTCACGCATGTGTACAGCCATATCACCCGGGCAGTGGCATCCATGGACAGCTGTGTCGCCATTATTAGGCTTCATCAGTATACTGCGGACTTGGTAGTGTGTGCTTACTGGCTGTATTTAGTATTGTTTATATGAAAAAAAGCCTTTAACTGAAGGGTTCTCGGTCCCCATTTTTTAGGGCCACGGTTTCTTATGTTTATATATTTACTTTTTTACGACAATTTGAGTTTCTTTTAGAACATAACTTGTATTTTACATGAATTGCAGTTACTAATACTTAAATTGGCTTCTGATGCTAAAAATATAACAATTTTATAATGGTGATATGTTTCCTTGCTGAATAAGACAATATATAAGTCGGCGGAGTCTATAAAAGAGTCCTCCTTGGAATTCGACCTAGCAAGTTTATCTCACCAGCTGAATTGTTCAAGCATTATAGCGGATTTGCCGTGATTTTGCTTTCCATATGAGAAAACTGACAATTCAAATTGTAAATCTCTCTCTCTTATTGTTGGTGATGACATTGACTGAATGTGTGTCGCTCTCACCATACTTGTTCTCGAACTCTTGATTTTCAGTTAAGGTTATGATGCGGAAGTCTCCTAGTTCCAGACGCGAAAATGGCGATGGCCAAAATCGATATATATATATTTATTATATGAACACCAATGAAATACCAGGTGAGCTTTCGCGCGAAAACATGATATCTTCACACATGAAAATAACATGTTATATATCACCGTTGCTATGGCTACATAATAAATCTCGCCTTTCGCAGGATAAAACTGTTTCAGTGAAATGGTTTGGTATTTCATTGGTGTTTATGTGATAAATAGAACATTACATGGCCACTTGGAGATACGAAAATTTCTCTTCGAGTGTTGAAAAATATTTCACGAGTGAGCGCAGCGAACGAGTGAAATATTTTCAACAAGAGAAGAGAAATTTCGTATCTCCAAGCGGCCAGGTAATATCCTCTCTATATATATCTTATTGGACGGTTTAGTATGTAGTATCGTGGGATATTTTTACGAGTCAAAATACAAGAGACGGGTAAAAATATCCCACGATACTACACACTAAACCGTTCAATAAGAGATTTATTATTCAACTCGAGATGTTTTAAAATAGAACTCAGTAAATATACGTAAAACGAGAATGCGCGACAGATTAACGTGACTCCTTGCAACGTTGTTGCTGATTGGTCTAAAATAAAGGATTGTCAAACTAGTTTACCCAGCAAATCAAATCTTGTCGGATTTCTCGGGTTTTCTTCGGCGCTTCGGGGTGTTACCTTTCAAACATTTGTTAGGAAAACAGAGATGGAATTACAAATAATTATGAGGCTCATGATGGTCTTCCGGTTCTTATGTAAAACCGACTGCAAGAAGGTAAACTGAGCAGAGCAAATTGCGATGGAAAGACTAAAAATCTCCGACGAAATGAAGGAGTTTTAAAAAGCCACTCGTAAACAACGGACTTGAACCTCATCTTCGCCGGGCTTAGTACTAAAGTTAATTCTTTAGAAAACGTCTAGAGTCTTCCATATCGAGTTTCCTCACATTTTAAAAGGACTAGAAGTGAAGACTGTTAAGCTCCTCAGCGGGGATTGTATTTAATCAACATTGTTTGAGTCACGGATTGTCACCGTCACCATGCATCTCATGTACGCGTTCAGGTCTGTTGTTATCTTCTCTGTTGTATTTTGACCTTATATAAATATTTCTTTGTTCTAACTATCTTTAATAAATGACGACATTTCATTGTTGAGGCAACTTTATTCTAAAACCTCGGTTTTATTCAACCCTACAATTTCGGGAAACGATGCATTTTCTGCCATGTGTGACGTTTGTAGAAAACCGGTCAAACCGGTCTTCTGGAGTACAAATAATTCTGTGAGATATTTGTACTCGTTTTGGATGTTGTTTGTACTCTACTGAGTGAAGTTGAATAATAAACAATGTTATTTGTATCAAGAAAATGTTTTTTAGCTCAGTGGAAGAGCATCTGGAGAGAAAGAACTAGAAGGTTATAGTTTCCATCACACCTGGACCGACTGAGAAAAATATTCTAAGAGTCACATCTTTGTTTCTCTTTTTTTAAATTTTACAGAAACGTGTTGCTGGTGTGTATCAGCCTGGCTGTTGCTGGTATTGGAGGAGGAATTTCCCTTGCGCCAATAATGCCAGATTTAATAAGAACGGCCAGGTACGCGCTCTTTTGAGTCCTGATATAAATAAGATAAATAAATGTGTCTTTTTATGTTTTAAATAGGATAAATATTTGGCTTGTAGACAATTAGTTGGCAATTATTATGACTAAGACAGACTTCGTACTAATAGCGAGGAGAAGTGTGAAGTCACGTTACCATGGTAGCAAAATTTCTGGATCACAACAACAGGGAGTCTTTCAACGGCGACGGCGAACGGCGAAAAAACAATAGGTTTAGGGCCTGTTTACATGGAGGTGGGGTACCCCAGATAGGTGAGGTACCCGCTTAGGAGGGGTAGCCCGCCTGTCCATATAATTTCTCATTTGAAAGTGATCAAGTTTACATGTTAGGTGGGGTAACCCGCCCCATGTTACCTCACCTACCTGGGGTCCCTCACCTTCATGTAAACAGGTTCTTAGATTGGCAAAAAAAAAAAAACTTTGCACGTGCATCACCCTTTTTTGTACATTCCTCAGCCGTTGTTGAACGACTGCGACATGAAACTTTCAAATTTCACGCGCCCGGTTTACGGAGTAGGTGAGCACAACACAAAAATTTTCTTTTTCTTTTGCTAAACTTAGATACGGTCCTTTTGGATTTAACCCAGAAAATTTCGCCAACTTTTGACAAATTAAATGAAATTAAATAAGATCAATGAAGTTTGAAACAGTAGTGTGAATCCACTTTTTATCTAACGTTTTGGTTTGTTGTCATCCAGAAATTTTGCTACCATGACAACTTGACGTAACGACTTCTCCTCTCTACTGGCTTTAGAAAGAAATGTCAAAAATTAAGAAAGTTCCTAATATCACTATCCATGGGATTCCTGTATAGCAGGTTTCTTCAGCAAAGTCACCGGATCTAACCATAGATAAAAAGCTAACTGGTGCGAGCACCACGGAAATAAGCTAACAATAACAGAGTTAAGAATTAATATGATCAAGGCAGAATTAGTACTAACTGGCTTTAGACAAAAATTGTCAAATGTTCCTGATCGATATCACCATCAACTATGACTGAGATTCCTCCTGTTAAGCAGGTTTCTTCAGCAACGTCACTTGGGCTAACCATTCATTAAAATCTAACTAGGCAAAACCATAATAATAATCTTTAACTCATGACAATTTGCAAAATCGAGTTTGTTTTTCTCTGCACGTTGAAAGTGTACATTTTATTTCTAAAATACAACTCTTAGACCAGATTAGTGTGAACGTAACATTCTCCACTATGGTCTCCAAATATTTTCTTTTGTACGAAAGGAAACATTTATTTCTAAATCAATGTTTCTCTACCGTACTTCAGTAATAACTGCTTGTTTACCTGAGTAAGATATGGCAATAAAAATTGTTCATTCATGTTGCTTTTAATTTATAGGAAAGGCGGAATGCCTGACAATTTATCCTCAAATGCGGCTCTATCGAGTATTTTTGGGAGCATGTTTTATTTAGGGTAAGTTTTGCATTTTGTCAACACTGTGGGGTTTTTCAGTCAGTTTGACTTCGCATTTTGCGTAAATATAGCACATGTCTTGTAACAAAATGGAATTATATAGATAGATGGATGGATGGATGAACGGACGGACGGACGGACGGACGGACGGATGGATGGATCATTCTGTGCAAATAGCAATAGCTATAAAATGTTATACTGTACAAAACTTAAAAACTTGATTACTGGAGCATACTACAACAGTTATCAGCTTTCTGTAAAGCCAAGTTGTGCCAGATAAACCGTGTTAAAAATAGTGTATTCAATCAGCAAACGTTGTGGTGCGGGATAAGCATACAATTCTTAGCCCATTTATTGAACTAACCAACTAATCGCAAACAAAAACAATTGTTTACACTGCTTAGACACCAAAAAATCAAACAATCTGTATACGTTTGATCCGGCCAAAGTAAATGAATAAACAAAACCACTTAAAATGACTGTCAATCATCAGAAAAATACAACTGAAATCGTTACGAAGAAATGGATTACAGGATTTTAATCGATTGAAATCGTATGAACCAAAAAGAGAAGTGAAAAAAAAACGCTACAAAAGCAATGAAATGTCATAAATCACTCCTCCGGCAGGAGGACGTCGTTTGTCAGGGGTATGCCATGCACAATGGACCTTCTCAACCGCACTTTGACGGTGGTGTCTTCTTGCAAAGTCCTCTTACTTAAGCTCCTTATAGAGTACTAAAGTGATGACGTCATAAAAATTAAATTTGTGAAACTATGGGATTCGTCGCGATATTCTGAAAGACAAACATCCAAGAGGCCTACTTGCCAAAAACTAGCATTGTGGGGCAAATTGTCTCTGAGATATTAGCCCAGTTATGCTCTGATGACTCCATACAAATCCTTCTAAATTTCCTGAAATTTGACTTGGGTCTAAACGTTATGAAAAACTGAAAAAGAATAAGCTATGAAGAGGTGTTTTTAGTTTCCTGACCTGTTTTCAATTTAAGCCAACACGTTGCTTTTTCAAGGTTATCCAAGTCTTCAAGATGTTTTCTTGTTCATTTGTTATTCACAGAGCCACTATTGGGCCAAGTATTGCCGGAGTTACTGACGAACACTTAGGTTTCCAATGGTCAACAAGTGTAAGTTACATTTTAACCAGTAAATCTCGCTCGTCTCTCTTGCATTCAAAGCCCAAAGGCGAATGCGTGTGATTTGCTGCAGTGATCAAGGATCTACCGTTATTTGCCGATGTTGAAGGCCACAGTTAAAAGCTATCTATCCTGATAACATGCTACCCAGCTACAGTGGAACTTCGATTTAACTAAGGGCCAAGGGACTGACCAAATACGTTCGCTAAAACGAGGTTTGTTATAAGGAAGTTCTTTACCATATATTTTACTATTTGGGGCAGAGAATATCGCAAGTTATATCGAAGACTTCATTGTATAGAGGTTCGTTAAATGGAGGTTCCACTGCCACGATTAGCTTGCGATATTAACAATTACCAAAAGATAAAGTTACGTAACTCGAGGGAAGTAAATAATATGAACAAGTAAGTGTCTAGCTAAAGATAGCAACAAAATATAGATAGCCGCATAAAGAAAACAACTTTCTTTTCATATTTCTACTTTATGTCCCTCATCTTCAGTGTTACATATTGTGAGATCGCTGTTGAGTCAGAATCCATGTTGATAACATGAAAAACCGACTCTCTCCCTGCAAGTAGTTTAGCGTTATGAATTTAGACGTTTAACTACTCAATATTGTCAACGCAATGTAACCAATGTTACATCGCGCGCAATTTAAATTCGCGTGCGAACTCACAATAGAGGCCTTAAGATTCTAGGGCGAGAACGACTGCGACCACGGGATTTAACTAAAAGTTTTTTCACGTATCCACAAAAAGTAGACACCCCGGAAAGCTTCACTGTACTTTTTTTCATTAAAAACGATAGCAGTGTTATCTAGTATATTGAAGGAGGTTAAGCCCAGTCTCGGTCGCAAAATGATAAAATGTTTCCTGACTTGAACTCGTTTGCGCCATTACGACATTCTCGCTAAAACTCATAGTAGAATGACGATGGTTCACGCGCGCGCACTAACGGCTTAGTATTGAGAAATCTCGTACTCGTACTCGTCTCAGAATCTAAAGGTCTCTAATATAACAATGAAGATGACGGATGTGCCCTCGAAACAATACACCTCTTTAGTTTGTATGTTCTGTTTTCCCAATACAGGTCGTGTGATAATACTCTAGGGAAGCATATCTACGCATAATGTATGAAAAGAAAATGGCTCAAGTTCCCCTAGGACCTCTATTCGGAAAACAAAACATACAAGCTAAAGAGGTTTTTTTTTTCAGTAAATTTGAAAATTTGTTTTGGTTATGCGGCTATCAACATGTAAGTGCTAGAATATGAAATATCCTCACGGCATACCAGAATATCAAATGTATTTTCATTATTTTTATTTGTCTTTATTTCTTCTCTTTTTTTTTTCTTTTATAGATCGCGGGCTTTATCTGTGTTGGTCACGTAAGTAATTCATATTTTACCTTATTAGTTCAATGTTTTTTGTTTTGTTTTTTTTGTTTTTTTTTTCTGTACACTTATGAATAATTTAATAAATTACAAATCAACAGATTCCTTTGAGAATAAAAAAATGACGAAATAAATTTATTCTTTTCCCTCATTTTGAAATCACTGGTGATCCTTGCAATCTGATTGGCTCTCAGCAGTATGATTTATTGACGAATCACCATTATTTTTTCCTGTAAATCAAAGATGTTCTAAATCACGTCATTTCTGTTTTAAATTGCACAATTTTCGCTCAATATCGCATCATTTCAATTAAAAAATGAGATGTAAAAGCCTCCTTGTTCTAGCTTTTCAACAAACATCTAATATATTTGCTTCTTAATTCTTTTCAGGCGCTGCTGTTGCTAATATTTACGGTGTTTAAGCCTATCTCTGACTGGTTAGTAAATAATTACAAATCATTTGTGTGGGAGACTAGTAGAAAGTCGAGGTTTCTTACAGATTTATTAAATTAGTTTTACAGATATCAATCGGTGAGAACATGCAGTAGGCAAGGGACAGACCACTAGTAAACGTTCGAAATACTTGTTCAACTTTTTAGACTGTAATAGACCTTTTAAGGGCAAGTTTACATGGAGTGGGGGACCCGGTCTAGTGGGGTTGGTTTCTTTTGTTTTCACGCTCTGGGGAACACAAAACAAAAGAAACTTACCCCACTAGACCGGGGTCCCCCACTCCATGTAAACAGGGTCTTAGTTTGCATGTTTTGCTTTCCCAATTCAGACCACATCAATCAATCAATCAATCAAAACATTTATTTCACTACTGTAAACACACACAACAAAAGCTGATTTCCTGGTGGGGCGTAGGCAAACTCGCATTACAAACAAATAGAAGCAGTATAAGTGGTTCTCATGCAATCTCGGGAGACACAAATAGCAATGGTGAAATGAACAAATGCTGGTGGACAAACAAGGGGGGGGGGGGTAATGAGCGATCTATTGTTTACCGTCCACCAGCATGGCGGCGATGACGTAACGTGAAAACCACCTATAGTGTTTACAAAAGTTACAAAGTTTCAGAGAAAAACTAATTACGCAAAAATGTATCTATACAATATAGCAAGTTTTGATGTTCTCCAGGGAATTTGTACTTTAATCTTTTTACAAATTATGCAAAAAAACTCATAATTTTGTTCTTGGGCTATCTTGGCTTAATCAAAATAAAACACAAACAGCGGTGATAACATGTGATAAACGTTCTTAGCTTTCGTATTTTTGTATGAACATGACGCTTCAGTATGCTAGTTAACACACACGTGGCCCAAGCGTAATGTATGTTTGTATGGGAAATAAAGAGTTTGTATGGGAAATGAAACTTAGATGAAATAAATGAACTAAAAGCGATAAAAGTTATCAATAAAGTGTAAATATTGTTATCTGGTGTCGTTGTCTTTGTTTTTACGAAGTTTCAGCGCGATTTTGAGTGTTTTTATTATTACACTGTCAGGTCAAATGATGTAAAAGTACTCAAATCGCACTGAAACTTCGTAAAAACAAAGACGACGACACCAAGTAACAATATTTACCCTTTACTGATTGCTTTTATGGCTTTTAGTTCATTTATTTCATCAAAGTTTCATTTCCCATACAAACTCTTTATTTCCCATACAAATTAAACTCTCATATTACGCTTGGGCCACCTGTGGTCAACATACATTTTCAAAACTGATCTAAAGTGACCGTTACAGATTATTGCGAGACTTTATACAAATTGACAAGGAGTCTGGAAATGAGATTAAGGGCCCACCCGCACTAGCAGCCAAATTTGGATTTGTCTTTAAAACCGATCTAAAACAAAAAATTTATGGTGACAATTTCTGCTTTGAAAAAATTATCCGCAATGGAATCTATTTACTCTTAACAGGCCGTGTTACAGTCATTACTTAATGGAAAGAATAACGACTTTACAACCAATGATTGACAAGAAAAAAGCATGTTTTCGTCTATTTAGTCGATTTTGTCCATTGTTTACACGGGAAAAATTTCGCCCGCAGTGCCTTTGAGGATTGTC